GAAAGAACGTAGAAAATCGTACCAGCGAGAAAAGGCTGTAAATCTTGCGCGATAAGTCAACATCAATTCATTTTTTAGTGAAATTATCGTAGTTTGTTGTCGAACTCGTGTAGTTTTTAAAAATTTTCGGCGAGGATGTTTGAAAATTCTCGAAAATTGGTTCGTGGAAATCTGTAACGTTTGTAAAGATATTTATCATACTTGCAGAAATTGTTTTTGAAAGTAATAAATAAATAAATTAGTAAATTTAATAAATTAATTATAAAAATTTAATTTAACCTGGAAAAATTACTTGCGAACATTTGAATGTCCTTTTGATATTTTGCACTCTTGCAGATTTCAATTTATCACCAATTTATCAATTTATTGTTAAGAAAGTAATGAGTTTAATTTGGTCGTTTGTGAATGAACATTAGTACAATTCTTTTAGTATCGAAATGTTAAAGTGTTCTCTATATTCAACCAACAAGATATTCGAAATTGGAATAGATATTAACATCCCTGAAAACGAACAATTATTGTTACGAGTGTTTGTCGTATCGCTGAAACTATGTATTATTCTTTGAGTGTATACTTCTGCGAATGATATGCTGAAAATGATTTCCGTTATAACTGCCGTGCGTGATTGGGAAAACAATCATTTTGCTGTTGTCATTGTATCTTATTCCAGTATAAATTGCGTTTATCGAACTTCTTTTCAATGCTCTCGTGGTATAAATTTTCTTTCTTTATAAAAAAAGAGATTTTCTTTTTTTACGTTGTATTTATACTTTTACACAGTTTGCTTCGTCGATTAAAATTGTGCAAGATTTTCAGTCTTAATTTAATTATTATTTTAATTTAATTAATTTAATCATTTATTTGATTATTATTTTAATTTAATTAATTTAATTATTTAGTTTTAATTGTATCAGATATTCTAGCTACCGTGTGAAAGATTTTTAAAAAGATAGTATTATTAAAAATTGCACTAATTAAGTTACATTAAGCATTAAATTTCGGCAATGACGATATTAAGGTGAACGGATATTCAGTAAGTGCAATTATCATCCGATTAAATGTAATAAAATTCAAATTTCGGATTTTGGATAAATTTTGACGACGTTGAAAAATTCCAACAATGTAACAGATAGTAAGTTAAAAATGATCAGTTTTGTAATTATACAATAATATTATTGAATACACTATATCGTTTAATTATCGTTTAATGTATGTACATTTTTATTTTATATTTCATTAATAAGTAGCTATGTTCAAAAAAATTTTTTTTTTCTTTTTTTGGTAGATAAAAATTTCAAGCATAAGAAGACGAGAACGAAAAATAAAAAAAAAAAAAAAAAAAAAAAAAAAAAAAAAGAAAAAGAAGTGACTGTCTTTCTCGTGGCTCCAGATCGTGAAATCGCGTTTCGAACTTAGTTTGTCGGTATTGTTTCTTGCCTTAGCTCCGGCGACCAATTTTACTCCTCATCTCGTTGAACAAAAGATGGAAAGAAGGGAGAACTATAATAATTCCTTTGAGCGTGCACTCCTCCAGAATGGGGAGACAGTCAATCGATATGACCCAGTTTCCCTGCCCGCGACCCCGAAATTTGCCACATCGACGACCCCGTTGTCAAAATCGGGACGTTTCCAAGTGTATAGCCGGAAGGCTGGTGCCATGATTTCAACTTCTTGATAGCACTGGTACTTAAGAGAGCGTGAACGATCGCGAACGATAGGGAACTAAATCGATTTTTAGACTCGTCGATTGTTCCTTAAAAGAAGGTTCTCCAGCCTTCTATAGTTATATTTTATAGTTCTTTTTTTTTTTTTTTTTTTTTTTTAGAACAATTATACAATAGGTATTTAATATTTTATATTTTAGAAATTTAGAAATTACAGTGTGCTGTTGTACACTTTATCGTTACATTGCGATATTCTGTTTATTATAATTCTGTTTAAATTTAAACAGAATTACATTCTGGTTAAATTTCGAGTAAAAACTGGTAATTAATGTTTCTGCCGCTGTGTTGCAAATTTTTCGTTGCAGAAGCGTTTTATTGTTACGGTCGATAATTAATTCTCTTTATATCACGAATGCGCCGTGAATTTGCAAAGAAATTCAAGAACTGAAATTGCATTTTCACGTTCGCGCGCTGGAGAAACGAGAAATCACTGTTACATCGTATTTTTCCTATTTAAAAGCTGTTTGAACGTCTCTTAAATTACTTGGCGTTTCAATTCATTCCTAATATACTTTATTATATTGTAGGAACCAACTCTCAAGTATTTTATTATTTTTAAATTCTTTATATTATCATATCAAAAGTGTTTTTATTTTTTTTTAATAGATTTTGTACGTTGCATACATCCTACTTTATATTTTATATTTTACTTATTACTTTATATTTTATTTACTTTATATCACTTATAATTTACTTATTACTTTATATTTTACTCACTTTATATCACTTATATTTTACTTACTTTATTTATTTATTTTACTTATTTATTTACTTTACTTATTTATACTTACTTTATATTTTACTTACTAAATAATTATACTTATTTTATATTTTGTATTATACTTGTAATTTCAATGTAAACGAACGTTCAATCACCGTCGTTGCAAAACGACGTTAACAAACAAATTAACTTCGCCGTAGTTTCAGCAATTGACCGACGTAGATTTCCATTGTTTTGAATAATTGGAAAATAGGATCGTTCTCGTAGAAACAACATAGTAATCGGCTGGCTCTGACTACTTCCTCTAATCTCGCAATCAGCCGGTGTGCTAAATGCTTCCTCCTGAATTCTAATTTAACCCTCGCTCAAGGATGTGCCACGACACTTCAGCACTCCATTATTATTGTTATATGCTCGTGCGTTTGAATCCGTACGTATGTAACGCGTCATTTCGTTCAGTTTCCTCTTGTTCAGACTGGTTTCGCTCTCAACTTTAAATCTTGAGCAATCGACGACGAAGTTTATTTGTAAAGTAACAAGGTTCAACGAGCTTGTCGTTAGATACTTAACGATCGATTTTAATTGAGCTAAACAGTCTTGCTTCTAGGATAGAACAGTTAAATCAGATAATGTGTCTTGTTGTTGCAACGGTCGCCATTCCGTTTTGATTTAAGGAAAACAAGTATGTACATTTTTGTTATTCTCGTTTGATTTGGCAAATTAAGGGAGCAAAGGGAGATATTGAACTTTTGGTCCTTTTTGATTTTCTAAATTCTGTATCGTAGAAAATGTGGAAATTCTTGTAGAAGAAAAGGAAAGTTTATGAACAATATTTCGTTACTAAAAATACACTGAACTTTAATTATTATTCATACCGATACAAATTATAGAGAATGAATATTCTCAATTATTTTTATTTATTTCGGTGTTAGCTTTTTATTTTTCTCTCTAATTTTTTTAAATTCTCTATTCTAGGGAATTTTGCACACAGAAAAATACGTTATCATTTGTCACAGTAAAAATCACGAATTTGCATTTACAATATTTGCCCATTTCGAAACGAAGTATCACCCAGTCTTCGATATTAAAAATTTATTCTTCAGTGTAAAATTTCAAGTTCCGCGACAACGTTACATCCAAATTGCTATCGCATAACATTGAGGTTTTCGCTGTCAATCGAATGTACATACTCGTAATTCTGCGATCATGCCAGATGCGCGTGCAATGTCGTGCATCACGTGGAGAATCGTGGCTATTTCACCAAGTCAGTTGTTTATAGACGTTGGAGATGGTTCACGTTGCCAGAAATTGATTCGTCTTTATAACCACTTGCGCTGGCAGCTGATTGCGGACCATAACGAGTGACTGAACCATTACACAATAAATTCGTCGCTTTCTTTTTAAACTCGCCGGTGTTACACGATGTCACTGGGTAGAAATTATTGTAGAAGTAACAGATTTATTGTTTGTTTCGCCTTATACTTAAATATACTTAAAAAAATTACTTCAAAATTTTGGGACAAATTACCAAAAAATTCTCGACGTGCGTGGCAAGAGGTTAAAGAGCAATCTAACCTCCGCGAAGAAAGGCGTGGAGGGATTTGTCAATTCCCATACGAAGGAGGAGGGTAATTTATTCGCCGATTGTTACACGTACGTTCGTAACACGATCGATCTTTTCCCGCCCAGAGCTCTGCTGCAGATACGTGCAAACACACGTGCTTTCGTACATTTGCATGCAATTTAGGCTCGAGCCTGTCGAGTTGCCCCGAAGTTGGTGCAAGTTTGCGTCAGCGGCAAGCCAATGAGAAGAAGAAGCGTGTTCGAATCTAAATTTAGGAATTTCGAGACAGATTTAATTTTCAATGAGCATCGTATTCAGTTGGGCCAGCATTAATCCTCATTTGCGCGAATCGAATCGCGAGTTCTTTCAAGAGCAACGAATATCCGGTGCTATTAAAACATCTGGCAGATCTAGCAGTGATTTTGGCTTGTTACATAGGTACATAGTAGATATAACACGTACGTTGACGCTCGAAAGTAATGTAAACATACTTGCCATTTTGTATATTTGTTCAGCTGTGTTTATTTGAAAAATTCTTTTACAAATATTTGTGAATCGAATAAATTAATCGTTCAAGCTTCTTGAATAAATGTATCTAGTAATTACTCGGTACGTCTAATACAATTTTGCGTTACCTCCTGTTAGACGTGATAGAGATAATTCTATCGTGGTATGTTTTAGAGAGATTTATAGATCTTGCAGATTTAAAGAAAGACGCGCATCATAACTTGTAAGCACGATTATACAAACGTACGGTGGATCTCATTATGGATATATTTAATGAATTATTGGTAAAATGTGTTTTCTAAAAATCGTATCCTTTTTTGAACGAGAGAAGAATGAAGAAAATATCCACGTACTTTTGAGCGATGTACATACGTGTTTTATTAAGCAATTAGCCAATCGGAGTGTAACCAATGCGTCCACGTGTCTCCGAGTCGTTCCGTTACGTTTACCTCGTATATAAACAGCACTTGATTGTTTGTCACAGCTTCACAGAGGAACACCGTCTTCCCAATTGCGAATTAACGAACAACGATCTCGAGGATCATCATCGAAAATTGAGAAGAAAAGACTGCTCGGACATGTCCTGCCCAATTCACTATCCTCGCTCAATGAAACAGAAATAAGAAAAAGAAAAAAAGAAGATAACAGAAATCAAAGAGATATCCTCTAACAAATACAAAGTACGGGAGAAGAGAGTTTCCATTTCAGTAAGATGCACGGAATAAGTCATCTATTGTCGCACCATGGCTCCCACAACGGCGACGCAAGGACAGTCCATCACCATCATCATCAAGACAAGGCCTCCTCGGAGAGTAGAACGCACGACACGAAGATCCTGCAGGAGCTGTTGAATCAGAAACATATCCAACGGCGAATATCGCGAGGTTCAGTGAGCTCGACTTACTCTTACGGTTCCTCGACGTCGTACGGCTCGTCGCACGGTTCAAACTCCTCTTCCAGCCACAGCTCGTCCCTCTATCATGGCGTGCACAATCACTCGGTGTATCACACGATTCACGGTAGCAGCCACCATCACCAGTCGATCCACCACCATCATCCCCTTCATCACATTCATCAGCTACATCCGCAGCATCCGCAGCATCAGACGAGCAGCGGACGAGCCTCGCCAACGTCGCCCAGCCCTACCAGCGACCACGAGAAGCATCATCATCAGAAGGATCATCATCACTACAGCATTCAGGAGATGATACGACACTTTGGCAGGCGGTTAGGTCATATTAGGCGGCAGAGCGAGTGCCAGGATCCGCCTAGGAAGAAGGAGGAGGACTTTCGTAACAGGAGCCAGAGTCTGGATGGTGGCGCGAGGTGTCCTAATCTGAGGGACGCCGACTGCGAGACCACTTACAGAATCTACGAAAGTATTCTCAGGCAAGGTAACAGAAACGACTGTTGGAGTCTGCGCTGCGAGATTGTTTTGATTAAATGATTGCAGAAATGGAACTGTTGATGTTGTTGTATTTTAATTAACGCTGATGAATCTCGCAGAGAAGTGATTGATTTCGGATTTCATCACTTGTCCTGGGGAAGAAATTATTATTGTTCTTTTGTTGGCAAATTTTGTTACTGGCAATTATTGTCGAATTTTGTTATTGGTAATTTCTTGTTCATCATGGTAATTATTGCTGAATTTTGTTATTGGTAATTTCTTGTTCATCATGGTAATTATTGTCGAATTTTGTTATTGGTAATTTCTTGTTCATCATGGTAATTATAGTCGAATTTTGTTATTGTCAGTAATTTCTTGTTCATCATTCTTGGAATTCTGTTTCACGATAGTAAAATGTCTGATTTTTTAAAGATTGAATGTAATAAGTTTGATTTAATATTCTTTTTTAAATAACTTTAAGGTAGTTAATCTAATTGAAGATAGTTTTAAATTAAATCAGTTGTTATTAGGGATATAGCTCCAAAATCAAATGATTGGAAAATGGATACTTTAATTCTCAATCTTTTCTCTCTCGTTTAATTCGATGATTGAAGCAACTTCAAAATTTCACGTTTGCTTGGCATATAAAGTTGCAAATGTAGGATCTGTTTGTTTACCAGGTAATTCGAAATTATCGTTGGCAACAAAATTAGCCTATTCCCCGGTTTCATTGCGCAAGTTGTTTTCAAGATGATCGAAAGTGGCCGATCGAACGTATTTTCTGTATTTCAAAGTGTGCCAAATTGGATAAAACTGTAACCGTGTAAACGTCAATTATAATAATATATACGTAACGAGTATGAAAATAATACGAGTATGAAATAATTTTAGTTTCTAGAGTTTAATTAAAATGATAGTTTAATTAAAAGTAGTGAATTCACGGGTGCTATAACATTAAACCAAGAGAAATTGACAACTGATGTACAGTTATTAATTAATATTCCATTTTAAAACGTTCATCGTTTCTATCAATATCAGGCTGGTAGTTTGCAGAAAATTCGATTTATTCCTCTCCGAAGTTCACTTTGATTTTCTTTCATTTCAATGAATCAGACATTAATTTCTCGTATCACTTCATCGCACGTATTAATTTTCGTTTGATACATTTCTCTTCCCTCTCTTTTTTTTCAAATTTCCTGCGTATAAAAGTTCCGTGAAATCGATGAAATTTTCAGGAAAAAGCAATATCTCGATTTAACATTATTATTTTATTTGGACAAAATCTATACACCATTTTCTTTTCTATCGTTAATGATTTTCTTTCGTTTTTATATTATACATCGCGAATAAACAGTTATCAAATTAGATTGAGAATATAATTATGCGAGAAAATGATGGGAAAATTATAGGAAATATTATCATTTAAATATTAATATCTCTTGTCGACTCTTTGATTTATGAGGCTCTTATTGGAAATCAATGCCTTCGTTATTGGCAAATGCCGAACGTTCTTCTGTAATTATTGCGTATAATCTGTTCAAGAGGAAATGATGTTTATTCGATTTAAGTATCTCGCACTACTTGGCAAAAGTTGATAATAAATATTCCACTCTCTCATCGAACGCATCGCAGAACTTAATAACGATACTTGCCAAAAAGGCTGCAAACTTTCCAAACAACCCAATGTTATATCGCTGACCTACTCCTACGTTGAATTATAATAACCAGAATCCCGTTCCCTTCGCGTTTTTATTGGAACTTTATTCGAAACTTTTTTTCTTCCTTTTCTCCTTTTTTTTTATTGAAACGATTTGTATTTCACATGGCATTTTTCTTTCGTATTTTCGTTCGTAAAGCGTACTGGCAAACGCCAGTCAGTATTCACACCGTCATTTACATTTTGCGTATTAATAATGATCATGTAAATGCGACGAGTTTTGTTTTTTCCAATTTTTTTTTTCTCTTTTTTAAAGTCTGAGACGGAGGGAGAGGGGGAGGGGAAGAATGTCATCGGGAAAAATGAAATAATACAGAATGAAGCATGTTCTCGAATTAATTTTATGCATTTTATGCATTATGCATGAAGTCCACGCTTTCAGCTGCACGTAATTTTCCACTATCTACAAAGTGGTAGTAGTCTTCAGATACGTACGTTTCGCAATTATTAATTTAAAAATCATTCATATTTGAGATTTGAGAAATTGCTTGTCTTCGCGTTACGATGAACAGCTCCGAAAGAACTGTGCCTTTCAAAATTTTAATTAACAGTTATTTCGACTTCACCTTGTCTCGACTTATTAAATTAAATAAATTATTCCCTTGTTTTCCCATCGAATGTTCCAAGTTCAAATTGGACGATACACAGCCATAGAAATTACATTTCTCTCAAAGTATATCAAACAACAAGGTAATAAATTTGATTTCCAGGTTTATCCAAGTTTCGTCGGAGTTTATTTCAACAGTTCCTCTTGTTTTTAGCTGCTGGACTTAACTTCACCTTCGAGCCTTCTATTTTTGGCACTCGCCAGTGAATGACATTACGTAACATTTTGTTCTGCAAGCTCCAACCTTCCGTGAAGTTCAGTTACCATTGAAAGATCAAGAATCACCTTGACCCGATCGCGTAACTATCCCGCCGTGCAAGTGTTTTTTTTTCTTTTTTTTTTTTTTTTTTTCGTGTGTTTGGCGTGCCGGTTATAAATGGCTTTGTGATGAATTATATCGTGTCAAGTGTATGTAGTNTTTTTTTTTTTTTTTTTTTTTTTTTTTTTTCGTATCCGATACCTCGTTACAGAGTTTGCCAGTTTCATCAGTTCATTTGCATTCGTACTTATTTACGTATTTTTTTTTCACGATTTCTTTAAATAAAATTTAAATTTTGCACGTAATGCTTGGATAAGCAAGGATGCTTTTTATCTGACTCGTCGGAGTTAACTGATTTCGATTAACATTAGAACTACAAAGGACTAAAAAGAGATATTAAAGTGAAAAGAATAGAAACACAATACACAAACTTTTATTCATGTATTTTATAAAAAATTATTTAAACCTCTAAAAGAGCACACTGTTTTTCATCTGTAGTATATCTTAAAAGAAAAGAAAATGAATTTTGACTTACACTTCGGTAGTTCTAGTGTTATTGAATACGTTTATAAAGACTTCTCATGTTTTTTTTGCAAATGCATCTTTTTAAGTTTACTTTAAAGAAATAACATCAACTTATCATTATTGGAGTATCTATTGAAACTTAATACAACAGATGTTTATTAAATTCCGAATTTATATTTGTTAGGGAATAAAAGCTGTTGAGACTCAAGAAACTAAATCTAGTAGTTGTTTTATAATTTTTGCTTGAAATATCTGTTTGAAAACGTTATTCTCATTGCTTAGGAAATTTATTGCTATTCATCCCAAAAAACGTCACAATTTCATTTAGATCTGTCTGAATCGATTTTCGTTAGTTTAAAAATAAAAGATGAAAGATTAAAAAACTCTTGTTGTTCTTAAATGTAGCATCCACGTTCCCTCGAAGTTCGAAAGCAGTTAATAATTAATCGATACGGTTATGAGCAATTGTAACAATTTGTTATCAGTATCTGCATCGCATCTTTTTTCTTTAGATTGAAACAATTGATAAAGTAAAATTTTTATTACTTTGTCACTTTCATGCTTTGATAAAGTAAAGTAAAATTTAGACTGAGATAATTAACAAAGTAACAAATTGATAAAATAAACAGGGGTGAAATTAACGTGACGAATGAGATAAAGAAAAAAAAAAAAAAAAAAACAAATTGCAACAAATTTCTCAGTTTTAAGTATATTTAAATGTAACCCGGACAAAACAAATGATAAGTTTATTACCTCTTAATAATTTCTATCCAGTGACGATCATACCGACGAGTTCAAAAGAAAAAAAAAAGCGACGAATTACTGTATGCGGTTCGGTCGCTCGTTATGGTCCGCGAATCAGTTGCCAGCGCAAGGGGTTAAAAAGAATTCGCACAGGCTGAAGTTTCACCTTCGAACGATGAAAATAATACATTTTAGAGTTTCTCCGAATGACAGAGCATTTATTCTCTCAATGAATTTATTAGCCAACGTAGAAGATCAACTATTCATTTAATGATCAACTGTTGTCGATGCTTGGACGACACGTTACTCGACTCTGTGCACGTATAGTTGTGGAAATCGAGTCGAAAGGAACAAATAATTGGAAACCGAGCAAGGGATAAAATTCGAAACTAATCGTTGAGTTAACAATTTTCCATCGTCGTGTAGCGAAATTTCGATTCGGTGGCTTATAAGTTTAATGCATTTGCGGTGTAAAACCGGGAAATACCGGGGGCTAAAGGGTGCACAGGTGAATCGAGTAATAAGAAAGTATGTTGATAGTTTGTATTGAAACGAATGGTCGGCTATTTGAAATGGTTTCTCTAAGTAGAATCTGACGTCACGAGATTCTATCTTTTTGCTGAAAAATCGCAGCTTTTCCCCTCCTCCTCTCGAATATCTCGAGCTACGTGAAATGTTAAAAGAATTGAAGACATGTCTAATCGAATTATCATGATCGTGAAAGCATAAGAAATAATTCAATCTTCCGGAAGGTTAGGCTCATATCTCTTTTACCTACCCTCGGGCAATCCTTTTGTTTTAACGATCGTTTCCACCGATGTCACATATATTATTCATTTTATTCATAATCGACGATGTTACAAAAAACACACAAAGAGAATAATAATTCAAGCACGGAACATTTACTGCGAATATCATGCGCTGATTCATTGTCGTGTCTTGTGTCTCTGATAGACGAGCAAAAGAATACAAGTAAAATTTTAATTATTTAAACTCTCGTTGTGAAAGATTATGAAACAAATTTCATTGTCGATATTTTAAATTTATATTTAAACTTGTGTTATGTGAATGTAAGGATACTTTTTCGTTCAAACGTCTCTGGAAACATCGAGAGACTTCTCTCGCAATTTAAACCCATGTCGTGACATTCAAGAT